GATACCAACTCTCTCTAATCATAGTTTTATGATTAAACTCAAACCTCTTTATTATAAGAGGCAACTCTGTTGTGCATATTATGACACTAATCAACCAAGAAAACCAAAAAAATAATAATCAAATAAACCAAATTGATAAAAAACCTAAAAGAAACTAATTTAAAAGCAAGAAAACCCATGGTTTCAATTTGATTTTAGTTTTAGAAATCTGAAACTGAGTGAACCGGTTCAACCAAAACTAAACCAATTGTAAAAAAAAGTATAAATAGAAAGTTTTCACTTAACCCTAAATCAATAATATGCAACCATGCCCTTCCTCTCCTACCATCACTCTTTTATTCTCTCTCATTTCATGGTATCTTACGAGGACCCTTTCTATTTTATTCTTATTTATCTTTAGTCTTTATCTCTTTGGTTTGTCAGTATCTAGCGCCAACAACTAGCCCTCAATCTCAGCATCTTTTAACTTTACCTTTTTAAAATCCAAATGAACATTGACCTCTTCTCTCTCCTTTGTCTCTTCTTATCTTCTCCTTTTCGATCTCTTACAATACTTCGTAGTATGCTTGTTTTTTTACATATAATTTTATTTGATTGATAATTTTAATTTTACAATTTTACAGGCTTTTAATTTAAAATTGATTAATATTTTATAGGATTTTAGATCTTTTAAGACATTGATTAATGATTTGTAGGATCTTTTGGTTGTTATTGTTACAAGATTTTCTTCAATTTAATATTTTAAGTTGACATAATGCATTCATAATGTGGCTTTATCATAACTTGGGGTCATAAGATATTGATATTTTTTTTGTATTTTGTTCATCTAGGTTCTCATTTTCTATTTAATAAATGGTATAGGAAATTAAGTTATTTTTAATAACTAAACTCACACGCGCACAAGCATATTTAATATTGTGCAATTCTCCTTCAATGCGATTCCTATCAAGCCTCAGTTTATTCTATGCAATGCCTGCAATCTCAATGTGTGTGTTGGATGCCTAGGTTTTAGCTTTTTGAAGGTTAGATTTATTTGTTTTTGGTAGGATCATTGGTAATAGATCAATCCGATACATAGGGATGAGATTAATTCCAATATCCATACGTGCAAATTACAAAAACAAAAAAAGCTTAATGTTTCACTATGGAGGATTTGATTGTTGATTCTTATACTGAAATATCCATTTTACCTTCTAATATGAAACCCATATAACTTGCTTTAAGAGAAAATTATCTTTTAAATAGGATCAATTTGTCATTGCAAGCTTGGATGGGGTTAGAATCATATTTTTACTCTTTATTTGTATATTGTATTATCTAAACTGCACTCCATGGTTAAATTTCTTAAGTTTCGATCTAGGTACTTTCAATTTTTCCTTTTTAAAAGTATAGTGCAATTACTAAAGTGTCATTGTAAAAAAAAAAAAAAACTTGTGTCAAAGGGATTTTTGATCTTTTCATGTTGGTTTTATCAGTGATATCATGTTAGGTAAGAGACAATATGGTCTTTTAATAAATTAAAAATAAAATAAAAAAGAACAATTATTGACGTATGTGTGTTATACGTGCTAGCCCGAGCCTTTCGGGTTATGCTTGCAAGCTCTTTCAACAAAAAAACACTATCATCTATAGTGGTGTTAAAGAGCTTGCTAAAGTCTTCATAGTGGATGGATGCATATTAGTGGTAAACATATGGTATAGCTCCGATGAACTTTTTTTTTTTTGGTATTCTTTCTCCCTCTCTTCTCCTTCATAAAATACAAAGGTGTCTTTTAATTTATTTTTCATATCCAATTTTATCCTTATTTTTTTTTTAATGTTTGATTCCTTTTTATATATGTTTTTCAATTTAGTACCTCATCACTTGGTTTTATTTGATTTTTATATTAATTTTGATCCTCATTCTTTTAATTAGTATTTAAGTGTCTTTTAATGTTTTGTCATTTTCAATTTGGTCATTATTCATTTTATTTCTATTTGATTTATTTTTTACCTTGTTCTTTAATTAAGTCCCCCATTGGTTTCAAACATTTTTGTACCAAAATTTATTCTTTTTTTTTAATTGCTATTTATTTCCTAGTTGAATTGTGTTTTTAATTTCATCCATTTTTATTTGATTTTGATTTATTCTTATTTTAAATTTTGTTCTGATTCTTTTAATTGCTATTTGTTTTGTTTTATATCCTTTTTATATTCTCTTTTTTCTCCCAATTTCATTCCTTAATATTTTTTTAATTAAGAATTTTACTTTGTTATTTTTTAGGATTTGCCTTCTATGGCGTCAGTTTTGGGCTCATAACAAGAGTAATTGGTTTAAATTATTAACACTAGTTGACTTCACTTTTTTTAAAGTTATTTTAATTTTATTTCTCAGTTTCACTATATGATGTTTGATTTATTGGGAATTGGTCATCACACTTTTATTTTTTTATTTTCCTATATACGAGGTTATTCAAATCCTATGCCTATGTTTTTTCATTGTTTTTTTTTAAGTTTTTTTCAATTACGTCTTTTAATATTGAATTGCTTGATAATTGAGCTTTAATTTTTTATTCAACTTTCTTTTGATGGGTTTGCCCTAGTATTACAACCAGATCGTAGATTTGACATGCTAACTCAGTTTAACTTTGATCATTTTTCTAATATTTTTTTCTTTGTCGATTTATTTCATTATCATTGCATTTTTTTTTATTTCATGTTATTAAAATCATATGATCATAGTAAACCCAGTGAAGTCAATATCTTGAATTGTGATTTTTTTTGAAACACTTACGCGCCTTCACATCTTTTTTCCGGTGAAAAAAATTTAGGCCGCCCTATGGCATAGTGCAAACCACCTATTTAGTATTTTCTCTTTCATCACTACATAACAAGAACTATTTATGTCAATGAAAAACCCGGTTCATTACAAGTTTTTTTTTTTTAATTTGATAAGGTTTTTCCTATTTTCAAAGCATAAAAAATGACCTAGACTGAATTGAAGTTGTTTGGTTTGAACTAATTTTTAGTTTGGTCCTTGTTGAATTTTTCAAAAACTTAAAAATCCAATTTGATTGGATTTTTTAGACAAAATCAAACTGAACCTAGTTTTGAACACCTCTAATCGAAAGAAAGAAGGCTAAAATAGGGGGGGGGGGGGAGAACAAACCAAATGGGCAATATGAAATTCGTGCAAAAATTCATTTTAGATTTAGAACTCATTTTATTGATTTTTAAGTTCTTGAGTTGTAAGTGGAGAGAGAATCTCCCTGAAAACGTTGAAGGGGTGAGAAAGTTATTAATTGACCACAATTTAGCAATCAAAAGAAATGATATTGGTGTCGATAAATATATACTTATTCTAATTCTTTTTGTTTTTAATGTAATTAACCTATGAAAAAAAATATGTTTTTTTCTTTCAATGGGTTTAAATTATTTCTTTTCCAACAATTTTTTTTTATTGGTATATAATTAAATAAAAAATTCTTGGATAGCTCCTCCATATCATGAGATTAAATAGCTTAATATGCATGTGTCTGAGTTTGTTGACTCAATCTTTGATTAGAATCAATAATTTTTTATGATTTAGTAGTATATATAATTCTTAATTTATTTTATTAAATACATGTAAAAACTTTTTAGTTTGTAATTAATTTTTTTCTTGATAGTAAAAATAACTTAGCAACATTGCCATCCATTTTTTACATGGAAAAAAAAATTGCCTCATCCTATGGCAGAATGGCAGAATGCGAGGAATCAAACTAGTAGTACCCATTTTAAAACTTGGGGTGGAAACACTATATATATGAATAGTGTTTCCACCCTAAGTTTTTTTTTATTTGCATTTTTTTTATTGGGTCTTAAAACTTTTTTTTTCATACATATCTTTTTTTTTTATTGGATCCTTTTGCTTTTCATTTAATAATTGTAGTTTGATTTTGTAAAATTAATCCTTGATAAACATAAAATGATGTTTGGAATCATAAACATACAAGATAATATGAAATGAAGAAAATATTAAAAAATAACATTTCATTATAGGTTGCAATAATTACCTATAATGTTTGATTTTAAAAAAAAAATTAGGCCATAACTTTTTTAATGTTTAATTTAATCTTCTCATATTTGATATTTTATTTCGATTGACCTTTTATGACATTCTTAAAATATTAAGAATAAATTTTGACCTTGATAAAATAAAATTTAATTTTATTAATTTAAACCAATTAAAACTTTACAAAACAATTTCAAACTATAACAAATATTCAACCTTTTTGTTAAAAAAATAATTTTTTTTATCTCAACTTTAAGATGCAATCTTTTGTTGGAATCTATAAATCTAATATCATTTATTAACATAAATAATTTTTAATTTATTTTATTAAATACAAGTATAAACTATTAACTTTTTTTTTGGTGAGAAAAATAAAAGTTAACAACGCCTGCATCCTGCAGCGCGGGGCGTTGTTAAATAAATGGTACCAAAAACAGGTCCTTAATTTTCTAGTTCCATTTCACTCCAAATTCAACCTTACAAACTCCAATCCTGCCAGCAAATGGCAGGCAGGATAACCACGGCAGGAACAAAAAACTTGCTATCTTGTTAGACCATTATCCACATAAGAACTCGAACAAAAACGAGAGCCCTATACATGATAGAACATCACCACAAGAGTAAACGCATTCATCAAACAAAATAAATCACTGTCACAATCAACACCCCACAGTGGCCATGAAAGGACTTTAGAACTATCATGTTATTACAACCTCCCAGGGGAAAACGAAGCAAAACATCCTCTAAGTTGGGTTATCAATAACAAGTTTCTTACCAACAATGTGGCAAGCCTAAAGCAACTACCTCACAAGATCAGAAACTAGGTCATAGGTCCATGAACCGCTCATTCATTTACACAGCTGCAATAACTTCCGAAAGAATGAGGCTGCCACATACACTGAAATTAGATTTTTATTCCAATTTTTTTCTAAATCAGATGAAATAGAATACGCACAAGTAAAAAAGGTAAGAAAGAATCAAGGAATCACTTAACAATTAACAGTAGAAAAATCAGTCACAAATGAGGCAAGAATCTATTGATAAATCTCATCTATTACATCAGTTTCCCTGGCATCGATAAGTTTGAAACAGCTTAGAGTATAAGCAGAACAAGGATCCATATGGTACATCTACCTAATAGTGACAAACTTGTTCGTACCATGTTTAGCCCAGTGAGCTCTCAGATCAATCGGATTAGAGAAGTCATAGCCTTCACCAGCAAGTTTCTCTAAGACTTTCTTAAAAGCTCCTAGACTCATTTTTCTCCCTGCAATCCTTGCACCACGCCGTTTTGTACTCATAGGCAAGGGATACACAGAAATGCATGTCGTACAGCATGCTGATTGCCATCCACCACAACCCCAACGATAGCATTGTTGAGGGTGGCCAGTACACGAGCAAACAGGTATGGGAATGACTGAAATGTCCATATTGATCCCATTTATCATAATTTCTGCGGTTTTCTTGGCAGCCCGTGCTCGTTGAGTAGGAGGACTACCCTCAGGCTTGGGTACTTGAGCGCCTCCCATACCCTTTTTTGCTCTTGGGGATTTCGGGCCTTTGTGACGCTGCTTTTTTTTATTAGGACCATTTACCTTTTCAACAACACCAGCCTCTTCAACTAGCTCCAGCGGTTCATCCTTTGCCAAATAAGGTGGTTGAAACATTTCCATATGATGAGATGAAGATGTTTCAGGCAAAACAGCTGCATAATCATGGTTTCCAGGCAGCACATTGAGAAGCTTTTCTCTCTGGCCAATCCAAGCGTCCCTCACGTACTCCGTCGGCATCAAGGGCTGGGAAATCCCAATATCCCTATGGTAAAAGCCTCCATTCATACTTGTCATGATCGCAGCACTTCGCGAACCCAAAATTGGTTTCTCAGGCATTGTTGGGGACAGAAGCTGAAGACCCAGATTTCCTTTAACAGGTGTTGGCTCATAGTAACCCCAATTACGAATATTCAAACTGTTATCTTCATCCATTATTTCAAACATGGACAATTCAAGATAACTTATTTAACCTTAACACAATTTGTTGTTAACATTGTGTTCACCTAAAAAAATCTCCAAAAAGATTACAGACACACAAAAATGAATTAAAACCCAAATCACAGATAAAAAAAAAAAAACTAACAATCATATTGTTAAACCATAGTAAAGTTTATGTCTTGAAACTAAAAAATTCGCTATTAACAGAACTAGCAAGCCGAAAAATCAAGATAGAAAAAGAAGAAAGAAAGAAGCATATGGGTCATGGTCAGAAACAAAAATCTTCGCATCCTTGGATTTGCCTGAGATTTTTTTTATAAAAAAACTGAATAGACAATTACTGGTGTAGTATTTAAGCAAAGATAAAGGGACTTACTTTGAAGAAGACGGAGAGAGCTTTTTAGGGTTCTTCTCCACCGCTAAAGAAGCACAAAAATTAATTAATTCATGCCATTTTTTGTATGCATTTACTTTTTACTCATTTTGTAAGGTGCACTTGCTAGCCTTGTGGGTCAATTGGAACATTTTCTTTTTGTCAAATGCCGTTATCTGCGTAAAATATTGATGTCGATTAACTATTTGAATTTATTGCATTTTTTATATATTTTTTATTTAAATATAGTACTTAAACTAGCGCACTGAAAAAAATTAATATAAAGATTAAAAATATTTCATCCTCATTTGACTTAAATTAACTTATAAAATTCATAAAAATAATTTTTTTTAAAAATCAATAAAAAATAATATTTAATTAATTTAATTTTAAAAGATAAAATTCATAAAAAATAATATTTAATTAAAAAATAAATAAACTTGAGTCAATCAAACAAACTCATGATAAAAGTGATGCATGTCATCAGATTTAATAAATTTTTTATTTTTAAAATTATTTTTTATTTAATTATATGGTAATAAAACACGTGATATTTTTTTTCGTGTAAAACAATATAATTTTTAAAAGTAAAAGAACCATAACAAATACGTAGGGTGAGATAAAAAAAAAAGGTAAATCATTAACAACAAAATATGAAATTACTTTTTTTAGGTAGAGTTAAATAAAAAGTAAATCATCAATAAAAAAAATGAAAAAGTATTTTTTTAATTGAGGGTAAAAAAAAATTAAATAAAAACAAAATAAAAATAAATAATATCTTGGATGTTGCAGATTAACCTATTAAACTACTATCTGAATAATGAACTCAATTGGATTTAATAATTTGTTTTATCAACTTTTTAAATCAAAAATAAAATGGAAAAAAAAGGAGACTAGATGTGTTAGCTTGAGCATATTATATATATATATATATAATATGCTCAAGCTAACACATCTAGTCTCCTTTTTTTTCCATTTTTTTTTTTTTTTTAAAAAAAAAAAAAAAAAAGGAAAAAAAAAGGAGACTAGATGTGGTAGCTTGAGCATATTATATATATATATATATATATAATATGCTCAAGCTACCACATCTAGTCTCCTTTTTTTTTCCTTTTTTTTTTTTTTTTTAAAAAAAAAAAAAAAATGGAAAAAAAAGGAGACTAGATGTGTTAGCTTGAGCATATTATATATATATATATATAATATGCTCAAGCTAACACATCTAGTCTCCTTTTTTTTTCCTTTTTTTTTTTTTTTTTAAAAAAAAAAAAAAAATGGAAAAAAAAGGAGACTAGATGTGGTAGCTTGAGCATATTATATATATATATATATAATATGCTCAAGCTAACACATCTAGTCTCCTTTTTTTTTCCTTTTTTTTTTTTTTTTTAAAAAAAAAAAAAAAAAGGAAAAAAAAAGGAGACTAGATGTGGTAGCTTGAGCATATTATATATATATATATATAATATGCTCAAGCTACCACATCTAGTCTCCTTTTTTTTCCATTTTTTTTTTTTTTTTAAAAAAAAAAAAAAAAAGGAAAAAAAAAGGAGACTAGATGTGTTAGCTTGAGCATATTATATATATATATATATAATATGCTCAAGCTACCACATCTAGTCTCCTTTTTTTTTCCTTTTTTTTTTTTTTTTTAAAAAAAAAAAAAAAATGGAAAAAAAAGGAGACTAGATGTGGTAGCTTGAGCATATTATATATATATATATATATATATAATATGCTCAAGCTAACACATCTAGTCTCCTTTTTTTTCCATTTTTTTTTTTTTTTTAAAAAAAAAAAAAAAAAAGGAAAAAAAAAGGAGACTAGATGTGGTAGCTTGAGCATATTATATATATATATATATAATATGCTCAAGCTACCACATCTAGTCTCCTTTTTTTTTCCTTTTTTTTTTTTTTTTTAAAAAAAAAAAAAAAATGGAAAAAAAAGGAGACTAGATGTGTTAGCTTGAGCATATTATATATATATATATATAATATGCTCAAGCTACCACATCTAGTCTCCTTTTTTTTTCCTTTTTTTTTTTTTTTTTAAAAAAAAAAAAAAAATGGAAAAAAAAGGAGACTAGATGTGTTAGCTTGAGCATATTATATATATATATATATAATATGCTCAAGCTACCACATCTAGTCTCCTTTTTTTTTCCTTTTTTTTTTTTTTTTTTAAAAAAAAAAAAAAAATGGAAAAAAAAGGAGACTAGATGTGTTAGCTTGAGCATATTATATATATATATATATAATATGCTCAAGCTAACACATCTAGTCTCCTTTTTTTTTCCTTTTTTTTTTTTTTTTTAAAAAAAAAAAAAAAATGGAAAAAAAAGGAGACTAGATGTGGTAGCTTGAGCATATTATATATATATATATATATATAATATGCTCAAGCTACCACATCTAGTCTCCTTTTTTTTCCATTTTTTTTTTTTTTTTAAAAAAAAAAAAAAAAAGGAAAAAAAAAGGAGACTAGATGTGGTAGCTTGAGCATATTATATATATATATATATATAATATGCTCAAGCTAACACATCTAGTCTCCTTTTTTTTCCATTTTTTTTTTTTTTTTAAAAAAAAAAAAAAAATGGAAAAAAAAGGAGACTAGATGTGTTAGCTTGAGCATATTATATATATATATATATATATATATATAATATGCTCAAGCTACCACATCTAGTCTCCTTTTTTTTCCATTTTTTTTTTTTTTTTAAAAAAAAAAAAAAAAAAGGAAAAAAAAAGGAGACTAGATGTGGTAGCTTGAGCATATTATATATATATATATATAATATGCTCAAGCTAACACATCTAGTCTCCTTTTTTTTTCCTTTTTTTTTTTTTTTTTTAAAAAAAAAAAAAAAAAGGAAAAAAAAAGGAGACTAGATGTGGTAGCTTGAGCATATTATATATATATATATATATATAATATGCTCAAGCTAACACATCTAGTCTCCTTTTTTTTCCATTTTTTTTTTTTTTTTAAAAAAAAAAAAAAAATGGAAAAAAAAGGAGACTAGATGTGTTAGCTTGAGCATATTATATATATATATATATGGAACTAAGATAGCAAAAGTAAATTGTTGGTAACAAAGGGTGAAATAATTTTTTTAAAGTTAATTATAAAAATAAATCATCAATAATAAAAGATAAGATTATTTTTTTTAAAAAAAATAAGATACTAAGAGTTCATTAAAAAAAATAATAGATTAGATGTTATAACTTTACTTGTTAAACTTGCAATTCGAGTCATAAAACTAACCAAGTTAATTTTTTTTAATCTAAAAACAAGAGACAAATAAAAAAAAAAACAATAACAACAACAATGTTGGCCTACAACTTAGCACACTAGGCCTCTAGAAATAACAACCTAGGTGCATAGGCATTTAAGCCCAGGCTTGTGTGCTTTGGACTACCTTTTTTTTTTGTTTTATTTAAAAAGATATACTACTTGTTATTCGCTTCTTTTTATTTATTTCCTTTAAAAATGCAGATGATGCATCGTTCATTAAGATAGATAATGAGTCGTTTTCGAGCCCAAATTCCAGTAATCATTGTGATGGTTGGAAATTTAGAGCTATGAGTGTTTAACCCACCAAACCTATTTTTCAATCAATTGAAACTTAAAAACCAATCTTAGAACATGTATAAACCAATTTACTAACTAAATAAGTTCAAAAAACAGCTCAAATAACAAAATTAAACCAAATAAATTCTCTTTCTCCATTTAGATCTATTTTTTAGAAAAAATTGAGGTTTTAAACAATTACTATAAGACTTTTCTTATCGAATACAATATATTGACACCAATTTCAATGATTTTGGTGGTCAAAATATGTATAAACAACAACTTTATCTCTCTAAGTAAGAATCCAATGAGATTCTCTCTCTTCTCTAACAAAAATAAATTAAAAAAATAAGGAAAATAAGCTTTGATATCAAAATTGAATTTCTAAAAAATAAAGAGACCAATCATCTATAAACCAAAGTAGATAGGGGACTAAAATAAATTTTGTGTATGAGATTCAAAGCCACCATTTACGTTACATACCATTTTCATTTTATTTCTCTGAATTCTAATTTAATCCTTTTTTCTAAAATAATATGCAATTTGATGTAAATTTAGGCTCATAAAAATTTAATTATATAAAAAAAAGATCAAGGATTAAATTGAAGTTTTTATGAAAATTAACTATTCTAATCGATAATGATTTGTGAAAGAGTATAGAGTAAAAACAAAAGTAAAAACCTCACAAGTTTTAAATTTAAACTTAATTAATATAATTTTGATATCTCATTACAAACTCATCTCATGACACTTGTCAAGAAAGAAGTAACCACTAGTAGTTTTCACAACATTATATGCTGTATTGTTAAATAATTAAAAACAATATTACATCATTAAAAAAATTACTCTCTTTTCCTTTTAACATATTTTCAGTCTCTTAACATACTTTTTTTTCTCAATCTCTTTTTAAAAAAATTAAAATAAAAAACATTAACTCTTTTTTTTTTAATGTTCATTGAACTTTAAATCTCACTGATATAAATTATTAGTTTATATTTAATTGTATTTAATTAAAATATTCAAAAACCTAAATAAAAAAAATAATTTTCCATCAACCTTTGCATATCCTACTTATAATTAGCTATTTTTATTAATCAATAAGAAATCTCATATCCAAAGTTTATAACTTTGGTTTAATTTCTTGGTTTTTTATTTTTTTAATCCAAAAACAAATACTAAACTAATGAAAACCCATTTTTCTTAGTCAAAGTTTTGTACCTAATTCTAATTTTTTTTTTTTTTTGATTTGAGGAAACCCCACCCCTCTAGAAAGCACATTTTGTGGGTTCAGGTAAGTGAGTAAAACCCCGGTTGTCCTAAACTCTTACAAGAGGTGCACGTCCTGACTCGAACTCGAAACCTAGTATGTAGATCTCAAATCCTTTATTATCACGCCACATCCCCTAAGGACCTAATTCTAATTCATTAATGGTTATTCTTTCTTTCTTATGTTTTGTATATCAAATCAAAACACCCATATCGTTTTTACATTAACAAAAGAGAGTTTGTTGAAACAATGAAAAATGGAGAGGAAAGAACCAAGCTAGAGATGGAAAGAAAATGTCCATTGAGAGAGAGAAACAAA